GGGGGGTGCTGAAAGCGGGGAGAAATAGCATTACTGAGATCACAAAGGGATGATTCTGCCTAAATTATTCTGATTAAATACCCAACTGGGATAAGTGTCCAAGATTATTATTCTACTTTCATTTCAACTAAAAGGAGGAAGATCTTGCTATTTGTATTCTCCTGAGATATGACAAGCCCTTTTCTTCAGACTCTGTTAAGACAGATTTCCCAAGAGTTATGCTAAGTCAAAAATTGATAAATCTTCATAATTGTGAATCCTATATAATAAAAGGCTAATATGCAAATTGTTCCCTCAGGAATTCGACTGCTCTCTATGATATGCGCTGACCACCGGGGGGAGGGGTAATTGTTTAATTGTTTTTGTAAATAAAAATGTTATAATTATTGAAAAACAAAAATATATATATATTAAAAATAAAAAATAAAGTCTCTTTTGTCTGGTATAAGTATTGCTACTCCATCTTTTTTTCCATTTTCATAAAATATCTTTGTTCATCTCTTCAGTTTCAGTCTGTGTGCGTCTTTTGATCTAAATGAGTCTCTTGCACACAGCATATGTAAGGGTCTTGTGTGGTTATCCATTAGGCTCCATGATGTCTTTTGATTAGAGCATTTAATTTATTTTGCAATTAAAGTAATTGTTGATAGATATGAGTTCATTGCCTTTTTATTCTTTTTTATCTTTTTTTTCTTCTTAAAGAAGACCCTTTAACATTCCTTGTAATACTGGTTTGGTGGTGCTGAACTCCTTTAGCTTTTTCTTGTCTGGGAAGCTTATCTGTTCTTAGATTCTAAACAATGGCCTTGCTGCATAAAATACTCTTGGTTCCTTCCATTGGGTCCTTTCCATTGGGTTCTATCTTTCCATTGGGATATTTCATGCCAATCCCTTCTGGCCTGCAAAATTTATATTGATAAATCAACTGACAACTTACGGGAGCACCCTTATAGGTAACTGCTTTATTCTTGATGCTAAGAATTTGTTCTTAACCTTTGGCATTTTAATTGTGATGTGTCTTGGTGTGGGCATCTTTGGGTTCATCTTGTTTAGGAATCTCTGTGCTTCCTGGATTGGTATGCCTAGTTCCTTCACCAGGTTAGTGAAGTTTTCCATCATTTTTTCTTTTTCTTTTCTTAATTTTGTTTTATTGCTTATAGTATTACAAAGAGTATTACATATGTCTCCTTCCCCCTCCCCCTCACTTGAGCTTCCCCCGGCTTCC